GTTCCATAGTTTCACTCCATGAACAGAAACACAAAAGCCTTTTCTTGTGGTACGTACCTTCATTGTTTTGAAGTTATAATTTTGAAGAATAATGCTACTCAGTTTAAAATTGTGAAAACTGTATTCGTGGCATCATCCACATTACATAATTTTATGAAAAGACTGAAAATCTGGAGAAATCTCTGTGCGTAAGTCAGTGTTAGATCCCTGTGATCATCAAGGTGATGATTCCAGGGTTGAAATCGCGGCATGGACTCAGGAACACTTCCAGAAATCACTGTTTACGTGTCAACTACAAATGTAGGTTAAAGCGCTATCTTGCAAAGAAAGAAACCCTGCAATCTTTTCTGGGCCAACTCTCATTTAAAACGGACTGAGGCAAAATTGAAAAACTGATCTGTGGAAATTAGAAATGAATTATTTCTGGAAAACATACAGAGAACAGGGACCATCCTGCTTGTTGTCAGCGCTCAGTTAAAAACCCTGCATCTCTGGTGGTATGGGGGTACATTAGTGCCTAATTTATTTAGTTGGAAGCTTATATAATTGGTGTATACCGTCAGTGGTGAAAGGTGCACACAGGTTTATAGCATTATATGCTCCCATCCATTCCATATTCTGTCAGTTTAATTGACTTTTAGTTACATTTTGCACGGCATCCCAGCTTTTTTCAAAAAACATGCATACCGAAATTTTATTAGTTCTCAGAGGGTAAAATATTGGAGGCTCCTGGTAATAGTCTCTATAAATAAAGACCAAATACAAACATATTAATGCAGATTTTTGCTTTGTCTCGCTTTTCGTCACCAAAAGACTGGATCCAAACACTTATCTCAGTCTGTGCTGTAAAATAAACACACTCTTACCCTCGTCTTCGTGCTTCTATCCATCTCTTTGTTGATGTTTCAGGATTTATTTGGGTTTGCAGTGTGAACTCACACACACACACACACACACGCAGTCTTACGTACAGGCGCTCGGTGGATAACTGTTTTTAAGATACGCTGCAAAGAGCCCGACAGTGGTTTTGAAGCAGTCATCCATCATCCTTTAGTTGCAGTTTTACATCAACTTGCCCGGGTGGCCGTCGCACAACAGAGTGGCACGCATTCCTTTTTAGGTGTTTAACCGTGTCACGCTCACTCACACACTTCTGCGTGAGTGTTTGCTGCAGATGAAGGGCACAGGGCTCATTGTGTCTGTGTGTGCTATGGTGTTAAACTGCCAGATCTCGTGTTCCTGCACAGACATGGGTGAAGGTTTTGTGTGTTGTCTTTACTAAGTGCTTTTAAAAAAGGTTAAGTAGTTCTCTTTTTTTAAGGTGAAGCCCCAGACTCTGCATTCCCAGTCAGGGTGTGTTTTCAGAGGAAGAGGCCATGTTATTCTTTGTTCTTCTTGATGTTTCCACAGACCTTAGACAGTTGAGGTTATCATCACACATAAACACACACAGTGCCTTTAGCTACCTTTAGCTGCTATTTTACCAACTGTAATACGATACAGCAACGTGTTCATGTTCAAACATTGTAGGTAAACCTACACCCCTCAGAGGAAAAATATTGATTCATTCGTGATCACTTTTTACTAACTTACTGTAATCATCACATAGTGCTGCACATGTTCTTGTGTCGCTGTTGTGTTACTGGCCTTGTCGACGTGCTGGTAGCCGGGTTTCGGGGCGTTCACGTGTTTGAATGTTTCCACTGTTTTTTTCCTGCTGTAAATTTCACCTGTTCTTCACACAGCGTTGCATTTCACAGCGTGACGTAAATCTGCCACAGTCGCTCTTGTCCAAAGGCGGCAGTGCGTGACTTGTAGCCTATTGTGCGAGGTGGTGGGAGAGGTGTTTTTGAAGTGGGCAAGAAGGATGTCGTTATTGTTGGCAAATTGGTCGGTGGCGAATGTAACCGCGGAGCATGAAGGCATCTCGCGTGCAGCGCTGTTGTTGTGCTGATGGGAACAAAGATTCAGATGGACTCCGTCACCGTACTTTTGATTTGTTTTTTCATAATTTATTGCTTTTCTTAATGAAAAGACAAAATTAATCTGCACATACAAAAGAAGCAAAAAGTATAAAAAGAATCACAAAAAATGCACTAATTACACGTTCACGTGAGTACAGAGCATACACGCATGCTGATGAGGCTTGGCTGTGAGCTGCAGGTCTAATGCAGTGTCTCTCTCTCACGGTGTCTCTCTCCCAGGACGGGTGGAGTCTGGTGGACTCCAGCGGAGCTCTGCGGCTCCCTCTCTATACCGCCTGGCTGGAGCTCAATAAGAAGGAGGTAACCTCTGACCTCTAGCTTAGTCCCCAACTGGGCTTTTTTTCCCCTTCGCCTGGGTCTCATTTAGTCAACACTCTGCTTCTAGTACAGTCCACTGGACTAACTCTGTCACTTGGCTCTGGTCTAGTCTCCACTGTAGAAAATGCTGTCGTAGATGGTGTGGTTTTGGTTTGTTGTTTGGCTGTTGAAGGCTTTGACCTGGCTTTTCTGTTAGACTTCTTTATGAAGTCATGCATCACTTTTAAGACCATTTTTTTTCTTCTAATATTTAGTTAAATCGTAACATTTTTACATGTTTGCTAGCAGTCTGCTTCTTCACTGCTTTTGTGGACACTTGCTTCTTTGCATGATATTACCGCAACGTGCCAATAACAATGTGTCACTGGTGGAAGGGATGATTATTACGCCATCCCTGTGTTTGTCCATAAACACAAGGGGGACCCACGAGTCATAACATTGCTCCACAGTGTTCTTTCAACACTCTATAAATAAGTTAGCTAATATATGTCATGCATCAGTTTGTGAAGACTTGAACTGAACATTGAGGCCATCGGCACCTTGTAAAAATTGGATGTCAAAAAAAGGGATGGATCTGAAGAAAACGAGGGCATTGCATCCACAGACACTAGTGACTTTTCAGTCACGAGGTAGTTACCCCATAAAGCATGTATACAGCATTTAATGAGGTCATAAATCTGGTGAGAAGTTGGGTCATTTTCTTATAAAACACAGGAGGCCAAGCTGAAGGTTGGCATGGTGGAAGAGGACAGCTCAGGCTAGACACAAAGCTAGAGAGGCGATGGATGGTGGCTATATTGGACGAATGATGTTGAAGATGGAGCTGCCAGGCAGAAGGAAAAGAGGAAGACCAAAGAGAATATACATGTAGTGAAGGAGAACGTGCAGAGTGTAGGTGTGACATAAGAGGATGCTATGGACAAGGTAAAATACAGGGAGATGATCCACTCGACCTCTAAGTGGAGCGGCCGGAAACTGTAGAAGACTGTCTAGTTAGACTTTCAGTTCATTTTTAAGCAGTTGCCATTTCCTGACTATTTAAATGAGTTCTGCTTGTGTCATTTTTCAGACTTGGAAACTTTGTTCACTAGAAAACTTAAATCTCAAGGGATGAAAAATTAAGGCAAGACTAAAGTACCAAATATTGTGCTTCCTCCAGTGGCCACTTGGCTCCAAAATACTCAAAAAATGATCAACACGCACACCCAGGTCCAAAACATTTTCATTTCATAAAACACAGGAACTTATAAACATAAGGACTTACAAACAAATTCTATACCTGTTTAGGTTTTGTTGAAGCTTCAAATTAGGAGCTTGTTTTCTTTGTAGGGTGATCGGTATGCTGCCTAAAGGCTTCATATCCACTAATTCAAGTCACTGAAGGCTGTCTTCTTAAAAGACTTTTGATGGAATTATCTGACAAATAGTGTGCCTTCAGTTTGTACTTCAGTTTAGGTGAGTGCATTCTTGCATTTTATTAGTATAATACTTAGGTTGAACTAGAAATCATCTCTGTTTTGAACCCACACAGTTTGTGGCTAAAGCTAGCTAACCTTGATTAGCGTTAGCTGGTATTTTAGTACTCGTGT